ATATAATTTTTGTAAAGCTCTTTGTGGCAGAGATGCTGGGATTGATCCCAGGGCCCCTTACATGGTAAATAAGCACTTCATCAYTTAGATATATCCCCAGCCCATTTTTATTTAATGCTAACTCATATCTAAATATTCATATACACACATATTGTGCTTGGCCTTCTGTGAAAGGATATGTTTTTGGAATTATTTTTCCTGTAGTAATGATCAGTTGCTATGCATGTCTTTCACTTAATTCCAGTGAAGTGATTAATTATTGGTTTTAGTTTGTTAGATGTGTGGCTATATCCACCAAAAATAACAATAATATGTTTTTGGGGTTTTTTTAGGGTATTAATATTCACTTAGCTAAAAAAATGATTGAAGATCGGAGTAGAGACTACATGAATGCTAGGCGTGTAGCAAAGGTATGAAATTCCATCAAGCCATTTATTTATTTATTTATTTATTTATTTTGAGTATTAGACCATTTAATTCTCAAACCTTCATATACATAATATCTTTTACATAGTGTTAAAATAAAGAGGAAAATACATTTTCATACAAACAGAATTTTAAGTATACATTAATAGACTTTTCAGATTATTAACCAAGTTGCTAAAATTTCATTTACATTGTCCTTAAAGATGTTCAACGATAAAAATATGGAATGCTTCATGAATTTGAGTACCATTCTTGTTTAGGGGCTGTGTTAATCTTCTCTGTGTTGTTCCAATTTTAGTATATGTGCTGCTGAAGTGAGCACAGCCGTTTATTTTAATTATTATCAAGGCTGTCGTTTATAACAAGGCCTTTCCTGTCTGGTGTTTGTTACTCTTGATATTTCAGTCATTAGCAATCTTAACTAATGTAAATTAATCTCAATTGACATCATCACATCTGTCTGAAGAGATGATATATTTGAAATGAAATATTTCTTTGCAGACATGTTAAGGACAAAATAGAACAAATTGGATTTAGAAGAAATTATTATTTAGAGAAGGTTAAAACAAGATTCTATCTAGAACTAATATAGTGTTTCATATCCTTACTTGTGCTTGGTCTTCTGTRAAAGGATACATTTTTATATTTGCTTATATTTGCTCATCAGAAAACTGTACTATTCTGCAGTCAGAGTATACTTATTAAATAACATAGCTCTCAGGGACAAATCTTATAGTGTGCATGTCTTTCCATTCATTAGTATTCTTAGAAGTTAGGAAAAGTAGCCAGTAAGTAATTTAAAAAGATTAATTTAAAAAGATAGCTTCTCTAAAGATGGCAGTAATCCACCAGATCTTCAGTCATGTTATTGGTCAACTAGTATATCCTAGAGAGCAACCTTCATAGATTACCTCCAGAAAGGGCCCCTGGGTGGTCTATTCACCCACTCCTGGGAATCTATTTATGCATGGGTAATACTCAGAACTGATCATCTCCATCCTCCGTATCTGAGTGGTTCCAGTATCACCAAAGAGTTTTAAATGCTTCTTRTTTAGGAATATGAGACAGTAATGAAAGGCTTGGACCGCAATGCTCCTTCAGTGCCTCCACAGAATACTCCYCAAGAAGCTCAGCAGGTAGATATGTGGAAGAAATATATACAGTGGGAAAAGAGCAACCCTCTTCGTACAGAGGATCAGACCCTTATAACAAAAAGAGGTAAYAAGATTAACCCTCCTGGGACTCCAACTACATGCCTGTTAGGCCACTTGATATTATCCCACAGATTAGTGAGGATAATCTTTTTTTCTTATGTTCTCCAGATTTCATAATGTGCACTGCCTCTTTGTTTTATTTTATCTAACTTTCTGTTGCACTTTTAGTAAATTCTTCATGTACTATACTTTTCAGTTTTAAGTTCCTTTTTTATAGTTTCCATTTGTCTGTTGAGATTTTGTATGTTACCATCTTTTTCTTTAAACCCTTGAACAGGTAACATTGGTTATAAAGTCCTTGTCTCCTGATTCCAACATCTAGGCCATTAGCTCATGGAGATAGTTTCCTTTCTGCTTTTTCTCTTGGCTATGAGTCAGTTTTTCTGTTTCTTTACTTGTTGAACAGTCCTATTTTTTCTTTTGGACAATGTACAAATGTAYAAGTGATACATTGTAAAGACTTTGGATTCTTTTATCTTCCACATCCACAGAAGAATGTTGAGTTTTATTTAGTAGGAAGTTAAATTTATTGACAGATGACTTAAAGTTGGTAGAGATTTGGTTTTATACTATTAAGATAGGTCTGTTTTAGTTTTATCCTTAATCTCAGGGTAAATTCCTTAGTCCTGGGACATAATCTTTACTCCTACAACATAATGGAAAATCTATTAAGGTATTTACTCAAACCATTGGGATTAGATTCAAATACCAAACTTGGTATCCCTTGTGATAGGCAGCTGCTAAGATATCAGTTCAAGYCAGTCTTTTGGTTTTGCTTCCTGCTGGACGCTGTATTCTTTCCGACGTATGTATATTTCAGGGATTAGTTAAAGATTTGAGGACATTTGTGCCTTGATTTTTCAGCTCTGGCTCTTTCATTTTTGGAATTTCCCGCTGTTCCCATAGCCTACAACTTTGTGTTACTTTGAGCTAGTAAGAATTTTTACTTGAATTCTAGSTACCATAGAGTTGCATGGGCATGGRTGTGCCCTTTGAAGAAAAAGCCATATTAAATATGGATTTCACCCAACATAGTTCCCTTTTATTTCAAGGGATCAATCTGCTTAGATTTCTGTTCCTTTTGGTCATTTTCTGATACTTTAAAAAATTTGTTTTGTTTTTGTTTTGAGATAGGGTCTCACTATGTTGCCTAGGCTAGTTTTAAACCTGTGAGCTCAAGTGATCCTCCCAAATAATTACAACTATATGCACATGTCACCATGCCTGGCTTTCTAGTACATTTGTAAGAGTTGTTTTTTGTACTTTTGTATTTTTCTTTTCTCTCTTGAGCTGAGGAGCATACTGGGGATTGGACCCTAGGCCTTGTGCATGCATGCTGAATACACATCTTTCCATAGAGTTACACCCAAGCTTTAGTCTATAATTGATATTTCAGAAAGTATAGTCTGATGCAAACTACTCTGCCACTGACAGACTAGAATTTGGAACTTTATTGAATTTATCAATCTTGCCCTGCTCACTCACCTATAGGCCTTTGCAAGTCATTTTTAAAATTTACCCCATCCTTYCTCTGTCCATTTATTTTTCAACTGACCCTCTCCTGCCCACCCCCTGCACCTACTATTGGAGATTGAACCTAGGGCCTTGCTCATGCTAGGCTAGTACTCTACACTGAGTTATTCCCATTCCTCATCTGACCATCTTCTATCCCTCCTTCAGGTTCTGCTTTAGATGTCAGTTTTATAGTGAAGATTGCCTTGAATCTGTAAACTATTTTAAATCCTGCTATTCTGAGGTTTAGGAGTAGTATATTGTACTTCTCTCATTTTAGTAATTTTTATATTTACTTACTTAGTGTATATAAAGATCTTATTCATTAGTATACTCACAGTGCCTTTCATTCTAGCATAAAGTTGGTGCTCAGTAAATATTAACAATAAATGATGGGCAGATGGGGCTTGGGTGGATAAAGCTTTTGATTTCCAATTTACCATTTATTATTGAGTATCTGAGCCTAAAAATTTACTTGTGATGCATATTGATAGTTTCAAAATAATATTTATTTTAATTGAGTTTTGTTTGTGCATATCTTCCCTTAGTAATGTTTGCTTATGAACAGTGCCTGCTTGTCCTTGGCCATCACCCTGATATTTGGTATGAAGCTGCCCAGTATCTTGAACAGTCAAGTAAACTGCTTGCAGAGAAGGGAGTAAGTATTACACTCCTCATGAACTTTTTGTGATTTTTGATATGGCAGTGATTTTCTGAAAAATATAGCACAGAATTTGAGTAACAAAGTGTTAAGTGTTAGAGTGTGTGTGTGTGTGTGTATTTTTTTGGTACTGAGGATTGAACTCGGGGGCACTCAACGACTGAGCCTTATTCCCAGCTCTTTTTTTTTTTTTTTTTTTTTTTATTTACAGACAGGGTCAAATCTTGCACTGAGTTGCTTAGTGCCTTACCATTCTTGAGGCTGGCTTTTTTTTTTTTTTTTTTTTTTTAAAGAGAGAGGGAGAGAGAGAGAGAGAGAGAGAGAGAATTTTAATATTTATTTATTAGTTTTCGGGGGACACAACATCTTTGTTTGTATGTGGTGTTGAGGATCGAACCCGGGCCGCACGCATGCGAGGCGAGCGCGCTACCGCCTGAGCCACATCCCCAGCCCTTGAGGCTGGCTTTGAACTCCTGAATCTCTGCCTCAGCCTCCCAAGTCACTGGGATTATAGGCATGCACCACYGCACCTGGCAAGTGTTAGAAAATTTAAACTCATGTCAATTTGAGTCTTAGTGACATTCATATGATTAGATTGCTTAGAATTAAAAATATAGTGGCTGTTTTTTAATATTAAGTGATGAACCACAGTATGTGCAGGATTATCTTGTAAGTTAAAATAATGGTGGTGGGGCTGGGGTTATGRCTCAGCATTAGAGTGCTCACCTAGCATGTACCAGGCACTRGGTTCTATCCTCAGCACCGCATAAAAAATAAATAAATTAAATAAAGGTATCATGTCCAACTACAACTAGAAAAATAAAAAATAAAAAAAATAATAGTGGGCTAGGGGTGTAGCTCAGTGGTAGAGCATGTGCTTAATAAGTACAAAGCTCTGGATTCCCCTAGCATCAAAAAAAATAGGAAGAAATCTTGGAATTTTGTTAGACTTCTGAGAGTGTCTTGTGTGTTTGTGTGTTTTTAGATATGTATACATAAAATTAGATGCAGTTATATTAGTTTTAAACACTTTTGACTATATTTAAATTATTGAAGCATACTTCCTTCTTTTTTATCTCCTAGGATATGAATAATGCCAAATTATTTAGTGATGAAGCTGCTAATATATATGAAAGAGCCATAAGCACTTTATTAAAGAAAAATATGCTTCTTTATTTTGCATATGCAGATTATGAAGAGGTGAGTAAAAATGTTTCAAACTTTATAATTCAATTTTTTACTGCATGACTAATTTTTTTTCTGTATGCTTCTTTGCTGTCATATTGCTTTTGTTAGCCAGAAATAATAGAGAATGAAAAGTTGTTAGTTCTTAGCTTATATTTATTTATGCTCAGTGCAGGAGCCATTGGTGTTTGCAATGGGGGTGGGGATACAGCCCCTGTATTCCTTAGAGCTCAAATCTTGCATGGATTTGTATGTGTGTATGTGTGTGTGTATGTATATATATATGTATTCACTTCTCTACCACCTCAGAGTCGCATGAAGTATGAGAAGGTTCACAGTATATATAACAGACTTCTGGCAATTGAGGATATTGACCCCACCTTGGTGAGTAACTTTACAAATCTTTCTTTTCTACCTTGACAGTCTAATTTAACAACAAGATAACTTACATATAGTAAAATATACTCTTTTTTTTGTCTAGTTATATGATTCTTGATAAACAACATTGAGTCATGGGAYACCATCACAATCAAGATACAAAACATTTCCTTCACCTTCCCCAAAATTCCCTTATGTGACCCCTCTCCTGGCCATCACTTTCCCATCAGAGTTGCTGTCAAATTCTGGTTTGAATTCTACTCTGGTTTTCTTTTTAAYGCTGCAGTATGAAACAGCTACAGAGGTGCTTTCTATAACCTTTTCCTTGTGATCATGGTTAGAAGCCACTTTATGCCACATACTTGTTACTAA